TTATCAAGTAACCAAACCATTTCATTTCTCAAGCCAAACAATCGTCAAACCAGATAATCCCGTTCATAAAATAAAACAAAGTCCATGGAGGCATGGACCACAGCATCCACGAGACCACGAACGGGAGGATCTCATGACGAAACCAATCCATAGACTGAATGCGCCGCTAGAAGAAGCAAACGCTGACTTATTTATTTCTCTTGTGCAAACTTGCTTTTCATAGTTTGGTACCCAGCTCTGCTCCGCCACACACTAGCATTCCCATGGATGTGGAATCCTTGCAAGAAAGATTGCAATAGGCACCTAGAATTGATTCTTGAACGAAGAGTGGAGGAAAAGGTGAAAAGGCAACAGGATTATACTATGAGAGTGAAAGCTGAAAAGGAAAGAAAGATTGGTGTCTTAATCTTTGTTTTTTTCTAATGGTGTTCGCCATGCCACGCCATGGTGAAAGGTGACAGTGCAGCTAGGAAATAACCCCAATAGTATATGTCCATGTCTCGCATAATTGGCAGGTTTGCCTTTGTAAGCTGATGTCACTCTCATGTCTCATCTACTAATAAAAATAAAATCAGATGCCTAGATTCTCCACAAAACTTGAAAGCGATAAAATAAAATAAAAAAGAAGGAAGCTAGCAGCCTCGCCTCCGGTGCCAAGCTGGCACAGTTGTTGTAAAAAAAAAAATCAGATGCCTAGATGCATGAGTTAGTCTTCTCGTAAGGGGTGGCTGCAAGCTAGGGGTAAAATCTGGTCGATCATAGTGATGATGATCTCCATGAGAGACGAAGTGTTATGATGTCGATAGCTTCGATTTTCCATCAAAATAATGAAATTTTGGCAGATCTGCCTGTCATAGGTGAAAAGTGCTCCATCTCATTTTCGCTTCAAAGATAATGACAGGTCAATAAAAATAAAAAAAATCAAGAGGTTTCGAGGATAAAATAAGATCAAGCGTGTTGGAGAGCACTCGAGGGGTGCCCTGTGGACCCCGGAGGGCTGGAATTCCGATAGTAAAATATGACCAGGGTGTCCCGTGGGTCCCCACGCGCCCCTGGCTTGCGGCCCAAGGGGTGGCCACATGGGCCCCACATGGGCCTCCTTGGCTAGGGTCTAGCCGAAAAACATCAAGATGTATTATTTTATCATTTTTTTTCAAACTTCACACAATATATTTCCTCGGTGATGTTTGTTAGGGAAAAGCTTCTGAACAGCCAGCTGATTTTAAGCATACTACCTTTTCAGTTGCCTGGCGTGTGTCTTTCAATTTCAGCGCTTCACACGATACTAGCCAGCTAATACTGGGAACATATCTGGTGCACCAAGGCAATTGGTGCTACCGGTGCACCGGACCCCGTTGCACATTTAAAAATATTTTTGAAAATCCCGAAAATAAATTTGTACAACATCAATGTAAGTTGTCACAAAAGTTCAAATCAAAATTCAAAACAATGCTCAAGATACAAAAATGACAAATTTGACGTCAATGTGCTAATGGGCCAAAACTGAAGCCCAACTTGTGTTATGTACTATTCAATGTCAAATTTGTTATTTTTATATCTCAAGCAATGTTTCAAATATTGATTTAAATTTTTGCGACAACGTACATTGATGTTGTGTCAATGCACTAATTTTTTTCCAGATTTTTTTGAACATTTTGGAATGTGCAACGGGCGACCGATGCACCGGTAGCACAAATTGCCCCGGTGCACCAGATACATCCCCAGCTAATACTAGTAGGCTAGTAGGACACCGGTGGTGTTGCAAAGGCGAACGACGGTTGTGCTCCGTAGCTTCGTCACTTCATCTTCATTGTAAATTTTTCTACAACATTACCTATATTATATAAAAAATTTCCATAACACTACCGATGTTAAGAAAGGTGAAGACAGAAAAAATTCTGCAACACGACCTCTGTTGCAAAATCCTCCCGCAACACCAGCTATGTTGCAAAAACATAAAAATGATTTTTTTCTGCAACACGACCTCTGTTGCAAAAATCCTCCCCCAACATCGTCTATGTTACAAAAAGGGGGAAAACATTTTTTCTTGCAACATGACCTTTGTTGCAAAAATCCTCCCTCAACATCATCTATGTTGTAGAAAGGTGAAAAACGACGGTCGGCACCTGCTGGGCAGTCGTGCCTCCGTTGACCTCCTCTGTGTCGTTCCCGACCATCATTGGTCGTCTCCCTGTTGCAATTGCTATGCCGGAATTGCAAGCGACGATGACGAACAATAGTTGTGCTCCTACGACATGAATCGACAACATGTGGGGACGTTTTTGCACACCATCTTCATTGCAATTTTTTTTTGCAACATTATCTGTGTTGCAAATTTTTTCCCGCAACATCACTTATGCTGCAAAAAAGAAAGAACAAAAAATTATGCAACATTGCCTATGTTGCAAAAGTCTTTCCGCAGCATCACCTATGTTGCAAAGAAACGAAGCCCAAAAATATTTCAGCACATGACATATGTTACAAATGTTTTCCGCAACACAACTTTGGTTACAAATATTTTTACAATAGTATCCGTGTTGCAAATATTTCCGCAACATCACCTATGATCTTTGTTGCAGAAAATATCTCTATAACAAACTCTGTTGTAAATAAAATTCTATAGATGTTTCCGCAACACGATCTTTGTTGCAAAAAATATTATAACAAACTCTGTTGCAAAAAAATCTACAGACGTTTCTGCAACATGTTCTTTGTTGCAGAAGATCTCTACAACATAATCTATACTGAAAAAGTTAAAATGCCCGTCAGACATTTGATGACATTGTTGTGAGGGTGATTTTTTTGTTTGTGCAACAGGCCTCTTGTTGCCAAGGGAACGAGCGCACAACGCTACGTTTGTTGCAACGGGGCAAGAGCAAAGTTTTTTTTTCTATATCAGAGATCTTGTTTATGAAACACAAGCCTTATTTCAGGAAGAAAAAATCGTTCAGTAGGAGCGCAACACAAGCTTTGTTGCAAAGGTTGATGCACGCTCACTGAAGGAAGATCAGATGGTTGGCTAGCTCACGATCCTACGACTACTAAGGTGATTGATGTTTTCTAAACATCACCCGGCAGACGCGTAGTTGCCCCCTTTTTGTTATGATGCTTTTTCTGTAGCTTTCCGGCAAATTGCCTCTCCCAGTGAAACATGAAATAAGAGTAAAAATTTATTAGGACGATGTGATAATGTGTAAATATCATTAGCAATGACTAATTTACACGGAGAATAGTGATGCAAAATTGACGCATCATTTAGTCACAAAGACGTCAACTAAAAACAACTAGGATGTCAGACAACTATGGAAGATGGAAGGGACTAGAAGAAAGAGCTCGGGATTCAATTGCTTTGAGTGGGGCTTATCTATTAATTAGATCACTCGAGTAAGCCGTGAAAGACGAAAGCGATGGATGTATGCGACAAAGACAACTTCTGAACATGAAAGCCAGCCTTTTCTCTAAATATTTTAGGGAGCTATACAGAAATCCTAGGCTATGGAATTCCTTCAAAATTACTGTGACCCTAGATATTTTAGGAAGTGACACAATTTTTTTTTTTGAGAATCTGAATCCTTAGATGCTAGATTTGGCCCAGTGTCGGCCCACATACCTCTTTGCCTGCGACTCTCAGCCTGCCTAGCTGGGCCCAATAAGAGCTTCGGCCCATGCGGGGGCGATCGGTCGTCTGCCCGCCGTCCTCGCGTCCGCTACTCCGCCAGGCTGTCGCGTGTCGCCGCCGTGGCTGTGCCGCTGCCCGGGCCCCAGCCGGCTCTGCGCCAGACGCCGGCCCCCGCGTTGCCCCCCTGCGCCACTGCGGCCGCCTGTTAGTCGTGGCGTCGAGCACTTCGTTGCGTTCCCCGCCGTCTCGCCAAGGCGGCTTCTGTCAGGTTTTTGAGCAAAAGCGCGGCTGCTATCAGGTGATGGACGTCCTAAAACCTTAAGTCTCACTGATATTCCTTAATTTCCTGTTCTTGTAGCAGTGTAGCTTAAAACCTACTCCCTTTGTTCCATAATGTAGTGTACATATCCCGCAAAAAAAAAATGTAGTGAGCATAGATGTTTTAAAAAGTCAAGCATCACAAACATTGACCAAATTTATGAAAAAAAACACTAGAATGCCAAACTTATATCATTAGATTCATTATAAGATGAACTTTTATACTTTATGTATTTGGTATTGTAGATATAAATAGTTATCTCTAATAACTTGGTCAAAGTTTGACTTTTTTTTAAAATTTATATGCACTACATTATGAAACGGAAGGAGTAAAATATTGATGCATTTTCTCATCAATTCATGCAACAGAAGGACAAGGCGATTTTTTTAATTATCTAGTATATCACAGCTCATCCAACCAGCTATTGACTCCAGGTACCAAAACAAGTAAAAATGACAATCTTCTGTATCCCCGTATTTTATGTGGTGTTTTTGCCATGGTTTATGTAGTTCATTGTATTATTAAGCACCGAGTTCAAATTCTTAAATAATATTAGCATGCAAATGAGCCGTATCTTTTTTTATACTTTCGCACGAGGTACTTTTTCAAATAGTTACAGGCACTTAGATTTTGGTATGGGTCTTGCTCCAATTCTGGCTCCGTCACTTTTTTGGTTGCCCTAAATTGGCATGGTTTAGTTTCTTTCTGTTAGATTTCTTGGCTCCTTATAGAGATGTACACTAGTAGATAAGTTATGTTAAGATTTGGTGCCCAATTCGTCTCTGGCCAACTTGGTTTGCATTTGCTTGTATATACCCATAGGTGCATTCAATACAAGTTGATTTTTTTTTATCAGCAACTTTTGAACTTGTTTTCAATTCTGATAAATTTGGAGTGGCCTGTCCTTGTTCATGTCGTTGTAATAAACTGGACGGGAAAAAAGATATAATGAACTTGCATCTATCATCCGTGTCAAAAGAGGATTTATGTCTGGGTCTAATGGACCGAACATTGAACTTGTAGGCCAGACACCATTTCTCCCTCCCACAGTCCCACCTCCCCATGGCGCCCTCATCATCACCGCTGCCGGGCCGTCTCGTCATACTCTACGCATCGCAAACCGGCAACGCCATAGACGCTGCTGAACGTGTAGGCCGAGAGGCTGAGCATGGGGGCTGCCCAGCTGTCGAGGTTCTCTCCACGGATAGCTTTAATCCCGTAAGTTGGGAATCCTAAACAAAAAACCATCCCAAAACCCTCCCATCTGATGTCATATGAACATCACTCGTCGCTCACTTATTTGTGCAGAGTTGTTTGCCTGACGAAAGGTTTATGATCTTCATTGTGTCTACCATGGGGCAGGGAGATCCCCCAGATTCCATGAAGGTGGGGAGATTGAAATGCCTCTTTTGCTTGGTAGTTTTCGGACTGTTGATTTTCTAATTGCGATTTTTTGTTTGGGCAGAATTTTTGGAAATACCTTCTCAGAAATCATCTGGGTGCGCGATGGCTGAAAGGATTGCATTATGCCGTGTTTGGGCTCGGCGACAAAAGCTATAGGGAGTACAATGTGGGTCTTCATACTAGATTCTACAGCCTGCTATTGTGCTATGTGCTGCTTTTAATACAATGGTTTGTGTTGATTTGTTGAAATGATCTGTAGTTCATTAATTTCTTGGGAATTAATTGCGGATTTAACATTCCAAAGTTCTAGCAACATGTGATGGTGCACAGGGTTGGAAAAGAAGTATATGATTATAGCAACATTCTATCATCTGTTTTTCTGGTGGTTGCAAAGGATGATTTTGGGAGGGACAACTTCATTGTGCCACGTAACTGTATCATTACAAAAAAAAAGAGTTACCATAGCAGATTGAGAAAATGTAGCAAACCTTACTAGAGTTATGATATATTCAAATGCTTAGCTAGAAATATCATCAAGATAACAAGTTCATTTGGAACTGCCAGTTTTACACGTAATGAAGAAGTAAACTTTTTTTGTATGTTCCAAACCTGCATTTTGCTGCATGATTAGCCATGCGGATTTCTTATTGCTATCATGGCTATAATACCATGTTTGTTTCTCACTGTTTTTCAAGCAAGTCTTGGCTAGTAGATTGTCCTCTGTTATCAGAAATCATGACTATTATGGTTTTCTTCTTGTTTCTGTTTTCCTCTTCACAATTGTGTTTGCTCTGCAGTTTCCTGCAATCAAGCTCGATCAAAGGCTTTTTGATCTTGGTGCCAAACGAATCACAGAGAGAGGCTTGGGAGATGATCAACATTCTTTGGGGTATGATTTTAGTATCTACTATTATTTTGTATTTGATATTCATGTGTGATCTCTGGAGAAGTCATATGCCATATGGTTTTTTGGTTAGGGCAACTCTAACCGATCCCTTATAACCGGTTAGAGGAGTAAATTTTCTGTTTTACTCCTCTAACCGGCACGTAGCCGATCCCTTATCCGCCGTAAGTGAGTAAAATTTTACTCCTCTCCCTAAATTTACTCCGCCGATTGGCGGCTGAGTAATAGCCGAGCCGCTCCCTCGCGTCACCCCCCGCACCTGCACTTTCGCCGGTGTGACCCCCCGCCGGCCCTGCCGCTGCCTCGTTGCCTCCCTTTCCCTCCGTTGCCTTTCTGCCCAACGTCCAGCCCTTTCGCCCCCGTCCCCGTCACCGGAATTAGGTGAACCGCCGCCGCCGTCGCCATTGTTATTGATTCGTCGGGTTGCTTCTTTTCTTCTTCTTTTTCTGCCGGCCGCCGCATCTCATGTTGATTGCACACCGCTCTAGGTCATTCCCTCTCGTCGCCGCCGGCCTGTTTGGTCAGAACGACACCGGCCCGCCGGTGCACCACCACCGCACCGCAAGTGTTCGACGAATTGGCTAGGTGAGTTTTTTGATCGTTTCTTTGTGAACCGAGCCATTTGGATTGAATCAAGCCGTTTGAATTGTAGATGAAGAGGTTGAGGGAGATGGCTTTGGAAGACTCGTCAGCATCCGAAGAGGAAGAAGACGACGATGACTTTGACACTGTTTTAGGCATGATTTTCAATGATGATGTTCGGCACCCGAGGAGAGGATCGCAGTTTGGCCACATACACGTCAACCGTGATAGAGCGGAGGGTCATGCGAAGATCATGAGAGACTACTTTGCCACATGGGTGTTCGAGTCTTGGCATATGGGTGTTCGGCCGATGCAGTCGATGACTATGTCCGCATTGGTGAAGACACAATCTTGGAGTCTATTCGAAGATTCCCTAAAGCAGTGATCGCTGTCTTTGGCTCGGAGTACTTGAGAGCACCAACCGAGGAAGACACCCAGAGGTTGATGACTGAGAGTGAAGCAAGAGGATGGCCAGGGATGCTTGGATCACTTGACTGTATGCAGGTGGAAGGATCAGTACAAAGGTCACTGCAACGATCCAACAATCATTATTTAGGCAGTTGCATCGAAGGATCTTTGGATATGGCATTCATTCTTTGGTTTTCCTGGCTCTCACAATGACTTGAATGTGTTGTCGAGATCACCTCTGTTTTCTAGGCTTATTAAAGGTGAAGCTCCTACTTGTGACTACTCGATCAACGGGCACAACTACTCGATGGGTTACTACCTTGCGGATGGCATCTATCCACCATGGGCCATCTTGGTCAAAACAATTCCACGTCCAAAAGATAACAAAAAACATTCACTTTGTCCAATGTCAAGAAGCTGCTAGGAAAAATGTTGAGAGAGCCTTCGGTGTGCTTCAGAAGCACTTTGCAATTGTTCGTGGCCCTGCCGAGTACTGGAACTCCAAGGTTGTATGGTGGGTCATGACTTGTTGCATCATATTGCATAACATGATCATTGAAGACAAGAGAGATATGCCTGAGAACTTTCGGTACAACACCAACGAGACTCCGGTTGAGTTAGAGTATGATACGAACAGAATCTTGGCATTCCTCGAGGAGCATCGCAAGATTGAGAACCGTCAAGTTCATTCTCAGCTCCAACAAGATCTAGTTGAGCATCACTGGCAGCATCTTAGCGAGTCCTAGTTGTTCTATGACATGCTACTTTGCTACATTTGAACAATTTGGCGTGTTTAAATTTGAATAATTCGGACTGTAAACTTTGAATTCGGTTTGTAAACTATATTGGTGATTTACGTGAACATTCATATTTATGTTTAGTTTCTATATGTGTGCTAATATGTAGTTGCAATTTATACTAGAACTGCAAAATTTAGAAAAACAAGATTTTACTCCGTTAAATATAGGGGATCGGCTAGGTCTGGCCAGAACTTAGTGGAGTATATATACCCCACTAAGCTTTTACTCCACCAGATACTGCACTATTTTTAGGGGATCGGTTAGAGTTGCCCTTACGTTTTAAGCAATGGTTTTCCCTTCTTGATGATACAGAGCATTTATTTGTGGGCAGTTCAGAAGCATTTCCTGAAGTTACTAAGGAATAATTTCTTATCGTATATCAGATACGAAGGAGAACTAGATCCATGGTTGTTATCTTTGTGGACATCCCTGAATCGAACAAATCCATCACTGCTACCAAGAGTATCTGACGCCAGTCATCGTAAATTAAATATTTTGGGGGATGCAAAGGTAGAAGTCATCTATTACTCGGCTCCGCAAGCTACCGACATTTCAGGTGGGAGGTCTCAATCTTGCTAATGTTTATTAGTAATCTGTAAACTTCTGTGTAATTTCTCTTATAGATTATGTATGCCATCTTCTCCAGACTCCAAGATATTAATTGAGAAAGCACGCTCAATGTCCCCTGCTCTAAAGTGCCATAATAGCAGAGAGCCACAACACATGTTACAAATGGTATGCTCTGTGTACCTCTCTAAGAGCTTAACAGTTCAAGTCAGTTTCTATTTTATTCTTAGGCATGTTTAGCTGATCCAGCAACTCTATATGTGGATATACATTTTCATCTGTAGGGAATGTTCTGCATTAACATATAAGATATTTCCCTATCTTGTGTATTAGGTAACTTTATTATTTACTCCTCGGAAACTTTATAATGTTTATATGCTACACTCAACAAATCCATTAGTTGTTGAAAGGATTTGAACTGAATTCCTAATCCGTAAGTGATAGTTTAGTAGGCTATTTTGTACGACCTTGCTGTAGTATTATGCATAAGCTCCTGCATAGTAGATGGGTGCTGGAAGGACAAGTGCAATTCCATCATCATAGGCTCAGAGCCGTTCTGCTCTTGACAGTTCCCATGACTGACACCTTCGAAGTATATCTCCAATATAAAAGAAGGTCATCATAACTCATGCTCACTGTTGTTAGTATGGATGGGAGGAATCCTTATAGCTCATGCTTCATCTGTATTGTAGCTACAAAATGAACATTGCTTTATAACTTAGTTGATCCGTTTTTATTTACTTAGTTTCTGTTGTTGTTGGCATTGCTAACCTTTTTAGGTAACAAATCAGCGTTTGACTAAGGGAGACACTGACAGAGATGTCCGCCACTTTGAATTGGAAGATCGGCGTTCTGTATGTTCTTTGATCCGTTTGATCATATTCGCTTGCAACCCCATCTTCTGAACACATGAAGGAAACTAAAAGAATGTACCGTTTTGTCATTTTAGGCCATCAGCTATCAAGTTGATGATGTTCTAGAAATTTTACCAAGTCAGAATCCATCACTTGTTGATGATTTCATTAAGCGCTGTAACTTGGATCCCGATTGTTACATTACGGTATGTGGATCTGTTCTGTCGTCTTGTGGATTTAGCTTTTTATTCTCTGTATATGTTTCTCTGCTCCACTTTTGTGGCCAACATTAGTAGCTTTGTGCACACTCTATTGCAAAATGAAAATAACTAATTGCTTGCTTTAGTAGCTTAGCTACAGCTAGAGAGTAGCATAGCTAGCAGTAGTGTGTGCCAAGTAAAGATGTAAGAAGATGACTGTGTTTTACTCCCTCTGTCCCAAAATTCTTGTCTTAGATTAGTCTAGATACGGATGTATCTAATACTAAAATATGACTTGATACATCCGTATTTGGACAAATCTAAGACAAGAATTTTGGGACGGAGGGAGTACTTGTTTGTGTTTATATGTATGTCTACTGCTTGAGTAGGGCTAGCAGTTATCATGGTTTAGACAATAAACACTTTTTCTTTCTCAATCTCAAATGTGTAGTTCTTGAGTTTATCCATAAAACTAGGGATATATCTTGAATTCTTGTATTAGTTGTGTCTTTGTTGCTATATCTTCTCAAGCAGTGAATCTGTTGCAGTTCTCTTGCTAACGAAAGAGGGAACAATTTATTTTGCTGCCCAGGTTCGAACAAAGGGTGGGGACAACGTTCCTAAAGATCCCATCAAGCTAAAGACCTTTGTTGCTTTGACAATGGATGTCACATCAGCTTCCCCTCGGCGATATTTCTTTGAGGCAAGAGAAATTACCCTGAATGCTTCGTCGCATACACATGTTGTCTAGTTGTTTGATACTATCTTATATTGGCCTCTGATATCCTTGATGACTATGACTAATATGCCATGCTGTTTGGTAGGTCATGAGCTATTTTGCAACAGATGAACGTGAAAAAGCAAAACTTCAGGATTATACTACTCCTGAAGGAAGGGGCGACCTTTACCGGTACAATCAAAAGGAGAACCGGACTGTTCTAGAAGTAAGTAATGCCTTACCACTGGTTTTAACGCCAACTTTTTTGCAGGTGTTGTCCTCTGACTTAAACTTGCGTGGATTTGGCACTGGTTTTAGGTATTGGTGGATTTCCCCTCGGTGCAAATGCCTTTTGAATGGCTGGTGCAACTGACGCCTCCGTTGAAGAAAAGAGCCTTTTCCATTTCGTCGTCCCCCTTGGTCCACCCAAATCAGATACACTTGACGGTCAGTGTAGTATCATGGCTTACTCCTTGGAAGAGGGTGCGGCATGGTCTCTGCTCCACATGGCTAGCGGGGCTCAGTCCAAATGAAGGTACGCATTGCTCGTTTTAGCTAGAAATCACACGAGAAAATGTAACTCACAGTGCACTTAACACGCAGGCGATCAACTTATACCATGTTGGATACGCCGAGGATCGCTGCCCCGCCCACGGCCATCGGTTCCTCTCCTACTCATCGGACCGGGAACAGGGTGCGCGCCGTTCCGCGCATTCGTGGAGGAAAGGGCCGCACAGAGCGCGGCGGATCCAACTACTGCTCCTGTTATGTTCTTCTTCGGCTGTAGAAACCAAGACAGCGATTTCCTGTACAAGGACTTCTGGCTGAAACACGCGCAGGGGCAAGGAGGGGTGCTGTCCCACGAAAAGGGCGGCGGTTTCTTCGCCGCCTTCTCTCGGGATCAGCCTCGGAAAGTGTACGTGCAGGACAAGATAAAGGAGCAGGGGGCGAGAGTGCTGGACATGCTGTGCTCCGAGTCGTCCAAGGCTGCGATATACGTCGCCGGGTCTTCAACCGGAATGCCCGCCGATGTTACGGCGGCGTTGGAGGAAGTTCTGTGTCAAGAGGGCGGTGTTCCGCGGGAGGATGCTTCGGGGTGGCTGAAGGATCTCAAGAGGGCTGGTAGGTTTGTCGTTGAGACCTGGTCGTGAGAGAGTGGGTTTTCTGGGCTTCCGGTCCAGAGATTTGAGCCATTTAGGAGAGCTCCAATGCAAGTAGTCTAATGGTACTTCACTCACTATTAACTAAATACTGAACACCTTTTGTGATATATTTTTGGGGACAATGTTTTCATATACTAAGAGTTGTTAGTAAAGCATTGGCAGCCACATTTTAGAATGCTCTGCTGTTCCGCTAGTCTCAGATCAACCGCTAGGTAGGCATGGCATGCACCATTTCCTCTTATTTTCATCCATGCCCAAAGAAGCTTGCGACCACCGGGCGTTAAGATCGTCGCAGTCAGCAGCCGGGGCAAGGCTTGGGTGCGGGTCTTAGGATGATTTATGCAGAAGCTTGTGGTGAATGTTTCTAGTGTCAAGGTTGTCGGCGGTTCCGCGGTTAGCCTTTTTGTTTTGGATTGCAAGCCAGGCACAGAGGTAGCATTTGAGAGGTTTTTTTTTTTGAATTCTAGATCAGCTGGCGGTAGCGTACCCTAATACTTCGTTGGAATTGCGCCGGGCAGGAGCTCTTCATGACCATTTCCAGAGAAATTCAGACAAACATTATGTAGGGAAACTTTGATGCTCCACATTAATGCTTTGTAAACATTATCCATGCGAGAAGTTTGCTTATGAAACCTACGAGCTACATCAAATATCTGACCCTAAAAAAAAATCGACCCATGTCGTAACTTGCCATCTCTTGGCTAATCCCTTGTGAATTACTGCTAACCAAACAAGTGAACAAACATTTCTCAAAATCCCAAACGTAATACCTATTCAATGTCAAACAGAGGACCTATTCAATGTCAAACAGAGGACTGAGACTTATAACAATTCTCATGTCCAATCTCACAACTCTCCTCTTAACTTCTCAATCTAAGGATTATCACCAACCCATCACCCCCAAAAAGACATTCTTAAACCATGGTTTAACTATTTTCATACTCACCACCAACAAGATGAAGGGTCCAGGTGGCAGCGATTGCATCGCATTAACCAAAATGCGACAGAGGGGAGAGTGCCAAACCCAAAAGCATGCAATATTTACAAGGGGGTTTACAACTGAGTCACAGCACCAATCCACTGAGACCAGCTAGGGCGCGAGAAAACTACAGAAGCCTATCAACAGGTTGGTTCCTGAGAAGATGAAGCTGACCAGTAGGTGCTTGTTTGCAGCTGTCAGAATTCAAGAGGAACTCCGTTCCCAATAATTGCCTTGCGCATCCCTGGTAGTTTTAGAACCGCAAGGGACTACGTGCACGATTTACTCGGGAAACCTATTAAACGGAATTAATTGTATTACATAATGTCCAAGATTGGCGTATATACAGTAAAATAAAAATTAGTCCAATGATGTTTGTTTGGAGTGAGAACTTACAATATGAGACTTCCATTCCACCTGGCGTCCCTCGTTTACACCAAACTGAGGTTGCCCCCTGACATGATGGAATATATGAACAAGGACCGCGGCATCAAGAGCGGCATACTCTTTCTGTAGAAGGAGGCATGCAGATCTCTGTATTAGTGGTGGCACTTTACACCCTTGATAGACAACGTAAAGCACATTTGACCTAGTTTGAATCACGAATAAAAAATATGCAAGAAAAAAGGTGCTGAGTTGCTCATTTTTCCAGGAAATGTGGCTTATATCACAAATTGTCCTATTAGCCTTCAGATTCCACTAACTTACAGTTAAAATGTACAAATTTAACCTGCACTACCTATACCCTTGAGTTGAGTGTATCCGGTGCTTTTCCTATTATTAAAAAAAAATCTCCATGTAAAAAGGGTAAAAATTGCAGCAAGGAAATGTAGTTATTCCCACTAATGTATTTTACAAGAGAGATATTAGTCAAATCTAGACAAGAGATCTGGGCCAGCTCATCCTAAACACATGCCGCAACTGACAAAACAAAGTAGGACTCTAAAACTTGACAATGTCCAAATTATTAGAAATCAATCATACAGATAAAGGGGGCAGCAGTTCATAAGGATTAAGATCTTTACATGACTGCTTTAAAGAAACATGAGCAAAAAAAAACAGTGGGTGAATAAAAGACCTGATTCTGGCTGAGAGGTCGCTGCTCCCAGTCGCTATTCCGCCGTGTCTTGTTCAAACCAGCTCCTAATATTTTCTGATAGTATTTTCAAACATATAAAGGGACATAGCTTGTCATAGTTTCTACGTAGAAAGATGAGCACATCAGCTGGATACCAGCTGAGTGTTGTAGATTTTTTAGATCATAAAATACCTTTGACAATCCAGAGAGACCACCAGTAGTCTCTTTGAACAGCTTCTGGATATCAAGTAGCATTTCATAGGACTGGAAACATAACAATTCTCCATACGACTGTGACAGCTGATGCAGATCGCATTGCAGGTTATAGCCTATTGTTTGCAATGGGAAAAATGTTAGTTCTTTTCATGCACAACAAGGAAACGTTCTTATAAGAAAAACAGGCATATGGTAGACAGGGGTAATTGATCATATTAACATAGTACCCAGCTTTAATATGTTAGATGAACACATGATTCGCCTGAAGCAGCAGTCCAATGCTTTAGGATCATCTTCATACAGCTTAATCAGATCAAAGATGAAAGCTTTCTTATCTGACGCAATTTGGATGATAGCAACCTGGCCATACAGGTGAAACATGTCAATGGAAGAACTAAAATATGCAGACAGATTAGAATGGGAATCTTCTTGCAGGGGAACTCAAAATATCACGGAAACTTAACAGTAACATAGTAGGCCCAAAAAAGTTAACATTAGAAAATGATTAGGAACCCCAGATGATCGCCTATGATGTATTGTCATGACAGATGATGAAGTGAATACATGAACCACTAAATTCATGTGAAATAATTAGCCCATTTTATTCAACCATACCTTTTTGAAGAGCACTAGGGGAGGGTTTTGAATTTCCGCATATACTACATCGCGATAAATTGCATCGTAAGCTTACACTATATTAGGGAGACCATAGTCATACTAGAAAACCAAGCAAACATAGAGGCGGGCAACAATTTGAACTAAGGCATCACTAACCTTATTACGTCTGCTGCCTTTCTCGTAATTAGGTTTCCATTCGCAATCCACACCGATAATTTTACAAGCTTCAATATAAGTTGTTGCACTAAGTAATCCGTTGATCTCATCAACCCAGACAATCTCTTCTAAAATCAATTTCTTCAGCTCTAAGTAGTCAGACTGACACATGACTTCTTCTGGAACTGTGTCATAATAAATACACATCAAGAAGAGAAATGGAACTAGTGGAATAAAGTTAGTTCCAGCATATGAAGTATACTCTTTGTCTCTTTCTAAAACCAACATTCATATTTAGGTCCATAAATTAGGGTGAGGGGGTGATGCTACACAATGAGATACCATCAGAGTGCACTAAAAAAATTATACCTGGGAACGTTCGACCAACTGAATTGAACGGCTCAACTACCAGTTGACCAGAGTCACATGGTATTCATATGCCGTGATCCATAAAAAAGTATTATCCGAAACTAGGATGCAAAATTCAGAAACTATATCGCCCTCCTTTCGGTAACTTGTATACTAACTTTGCATCCACCTGGCAGCTTGCATTCACGTTATCTTCAGGGCTGGTGGTGCTGCCACCTCATTTCTTTGTACAAGTGAAAATGCTAATTCTAAATATTTGTTGTTCTTTTATACAGCTCTTATAAGATAAACTAGTTAAGATGAATTGAATAATAAACTGACATGCCATATTTCTCAACCTACATCATCCAAGAATCAATAGTTTTTATAAATTGCCCCTCAATTTGAAGATTATTGAATTGACCCTTAAATCTGTAGTTTTGCGGCAATGTGTACATTTTTTGCGAAATATACTCTTAATTGAATCATTGTACTGAGTAACTGAGTATTACATAATCCGAAAGAAATATGAACGGGGTGTCTTTTAAACAGATAATTCAAGTGTAAAGGTGATTCTAGAATAGAAGCTAGGTGTTAAATACTATACAGAATAGATAGGTGTTAGCTTAATGTTGGATCAATAACATTATAGCTCTATAGAAGTAACCACTAACCAGAATATAGATCTATAGCGTAATGTTGGATCAATAGCATCATAGGTGTGCTTACCCAAAGAATTGACATAACCTTCAAGAGAGTATCGTTCGCAAAGCTCGTCAACCTTCTCCATATAGCCAGCTTCCATAGCAAGATATACCTGTGCACAACATAACAATGCAAACAATTCCTTCTATGATACACAAAGGTTGCCAGCAGAAGA